TATTTTGCATGTGGGTCACTGCCACAGCATGGCCACCAACAAGTGCTGTAGGTCTACACCCGGGCACCAAACCCAGGCCACTGAAGCTGAACTTGCCAAACTTAACCACTTGACCACAGGGCCAGCCCCCAAGTCCTCATTTTTAAATGGGGAAGACCTATGGGTTAGATTTTCTTCTGGAAAGCATTTTCCTGTATTAGGATTCCTTAATCTTGTAGATTGCTTATCTTACCCCAAAAGATCATTAACTAAGTGTGTCCTTCCTTTCCTTATTGCAGCTGGAGGACAACAGCACTCCTGAACCAAAGGAAAATGGAGGGGAAGGCTGTCATCAGAATGGTCTTGCACTCCCTGTAGAGGAGGAAGGGGAGGTCCTCTCACACTCACTGGAAGCAGAGCACAGGTGAGAGAGGATTGGATTACAGGGCATGCTGTGTGCGGCCTGCAAGGAGCTTGAAGATACTTAAGAAGACGTCTCAGATTGAGTCCAGCATACAGAGAAACGTGCCCACAAGCACCGTTAACTTGTTCTCTGTATGCTCCAGGTTGGCTTGTTGCCCACTAGGCGCTGCTTTAGAGACTCGGCTAGCTTTCTCACACTCTTCTCTCCAAGGTTTTCATGTAGTTTAGTTTCAGGCTCAGTTTATGGCTCCAGTTGGAGCGGAGAGAGGGGATCTGAGACTATTGTGCTGGCCCCTGGGACCCTCCTGGCCCAAGTGAGCACTTACCGTAGGACCCCCTAAAGGGGGGACCTTGGGAGGCGTGAGACCCCCGTGTGTCGAGCTTGTTCTTTAAATGAGGGCTTTGAACATAGAGCAGCCAGCTGTCTGGGCAGCTGAATGACAGGTGAGGCCTGCCAAGCATGGCAGTACCTTTCTGAAAGGAGGCTTCTGTCCAGAGGAACTTTGGGAGTCAGCAAGATCACAAGATTATGAAGGAGTCCACAATGCCATGAAATTGAAAGAGAACTTATGTACATGTGGAGATGTGTTAATCTGCTCACAAGAAAGAAAAGGGAGATTTCTTCCTCTGTTTTGTCTCTGGGACAGAGAGGGCTTTGCAGTTTGGCTCGTCTCTCTTTGCTGGCGTATTTTCTGCTGCTTCTACTGTCTCTTCTCTATAGCTCTTATTGTCTCAACTGTGGAGATCCTCCATTTAATTAGAAGCACCTAAGTAGCCATAATTAAACCTTATCCCAGTGAGGAGAAAAGAAAAACCAAGTTTCTTCTCTAATATCCGAGTGGATACCATTCCCCTGGGCAGGAAAGTTTTCTTTGGAAGGTTGTGGGCTTCCCACTTATGCTTAAAGGTGTCTTATTTTCTTTGCCTGACCTGCCTCCACCAGGTTGTTGAAAGCAATGGGATGGCAGGAGTATCCTGAAAATGATGAGAACTGCCTTCCCCTCACAGAGGATGAGCTCAGAGAGTTCCACATGAAGACAGAGCAGGTATGTCAGAACCCTTCCCGGGAAGACAGTTAATGACAAGGAGAGAAATGAGACAGTCATAGCCCTCTGGGAGCCTAAGTTTAGTGTGAAGAAGGACATTGAACAAGAAAGTATAAAATAAGTTGCCATAATAGACATAGAGAGAGGAGCATCTCATTTTGCCAGAGCAATGGGAATCTTCAGTGGTGGAGACAAACCACATCAGTAGGTAGCAGATTTCAGAAAGAAGTATGTTCTTTCATCTTGGAAGCTCTAACCTCTTAGCAGAATCACAAAGCTGGGCCCCAGAGTTAGGAGCTGAGCCCTGGGTCTCTCGGGGAGCAGGCTCACCCTCCTATGCCTCCAGGCCTGGGTTTCCTGCGGGTCCTCTGGCCAGAGCCAAGAAGTCAGATGGCCTATTTGAATTTATTTAACAAATGCTTGGATTCTTTCTCCAAGTCAAGCACTCTCAGATATTAGGGTTTACAGCAGTGGACGAGACAGAGGGGTCTTTGGAAACCTCATGCAGCTGATGTTCTGCTGATACCTATTTAAAGCATAAAGAGCAATTGTGTTAAGTCCTATAAAGAGAAGGTACAGGCCGACATAAAGACTGCCACTCAGCGCTCTTCCCCTGCTCATTGACTTCACCTAAGAACTCTCAGAACTAGGGAATCTCAAGCCCTACCCCAGAATACTGAATCAGAATCTGCATTTTGAAGATCCTTAGATGATTCGTTTGCACATTAGAGTTTGAAAAGCACTGGTCTAAGAAATCTTCAGTCTCTTAGAAGGGCCCTCCCCCTTATTCCGCCTAGAATCTAATGGAGGCCTGGCCTTTCCTGGGTCCCATGGGCCAGTGTAGTTATTGATTTCTTTTTTCTTTCTTTCCCGTGCTAACCACAGCTGAGAAGAAACGGCTTTGGGAAGAATGGCTTCTTGCAGAGCCGCAGTTCCAGCCTGTTCTCCCCTTGGAGAAGCACTTGTAAAGCAGAGTTTGAGGACTCAGACACGGAAACCAGTAGCAGTGAAACATCCGATGACGATGCCTGGAAGTAGGCATATCAGTGCTTACAGTTCAGTCTGTGCCAGTAAACTCCGCTTGTGTGTTTGGGGAGTATACAGGAGAAAGCGTTCTTTTCCTTTTCTTAGGTTGTTGTTGAGTACTTCGTGCACAAGGGAAATAATCCTATCCCAAAGAGAGAGCAGTTGGCTTGTTGAGCTTTCGTTGTTGTTCTTCCCTGTTATCTGCTTAATAGAGAGAAGTTTGTGTGGTGGGAGAGATTTTTAAAATACACACACACACACACAGTCTATATGGGGCGATGCACAGGTGGGAGCTGGCCGTGCAGAGTGGAGGAGACGCGGGTCTGCAGCAGCAGCTTCTACCCCCAGCCCTTGGGGCACTCACCCCTGTGCTCAAGCAATCATTGTCAATGACAAAGTGACTATTGAAGTTATAATTGTATTAAATTAATGCTAATAATTTGGATATTTTATTTTCTTTTTGGCTGCTCGGGTAACGTTAGCCCTTAACCAAGCATATGTGGTTTCTTTTTTTTTTTTTTTTTTCCTTTTTGGGTACAGCTGTAAAATATTTGGATATAGAAAAATGTTGTGTTATTCTTGCAGCCTTGATATTCAGGGTGGATTGTAAAATATAAATTTTTGTGAGATTTCAAAGATTAAGATTATTTTGATAACATTATTTACAGATTTAAAAGAAGTGGTTATCACAAGTCTGTTGAGGGGAAACTACTGCATAAAATAACTAACTTGGAATAAATATTTTGCATCAGTTTGGATTGTCTTGTGTAAGAATATATTTTCTTTAAAATTAGATGAATGGCTTCTTTTTTAGGGGAAATGCTTTTAGAAGTCTGAGGGAAATCTGAATTCAGACCCACTTGTTTCTCCTTACAGCAGATACTTTTTCAATGCAGAAAAACCTGTGCAATAAATTACCAGTAATAAAATCAGAAACCCAAGTTTCCTTCCTGAAACTGTTTTTCGCTGCCCGTGTGTTTAACAATGTGCATATTTTAAGGAAGGCCTGTGCCTCAATTTCCCTGCTAAATAAGAACTTAGGGAGGAAGGCTTAGAGCTAACGCTGGCTGGCTGACCAGTGAAGGAGGCAGGGTTCTTCATTCAACAAATACTTCCCAAGTTCTTGTGTGTCCCAGGCATTGTGCAAGGCTCTGGAGATACGAGGAGTGCCCAGCCTAGTACAGAGGAGAATAAACACGTTAAAAATGAAAGCTTAGGGCTGGCCCAGTGGCATCGTGGTTAAGTTCACACACTCTGCTTTGGCAGCCCAGGGTTCGTGGGTTCGGATCCTGGGTGCGGACCTGGCACTCTTCATCAAGCCATGTTATGTAGGCATCCCACATTCAAAATAGAGGAAGACTGGCACAGACATTAGCTCAGCAATGGTCTTCCTCAAGCAAAAGGAGGAAGATGGGCAACAGATGTTAGCTCAGGGCCTTTCTCATCAAAAAAAAAAAAAAAACTTAGGCCGAGATCTGTTGGAAAAGCAGACGTTTATTGAAACAACAAATATTTAGTGACACTGGCACTCTTTGTCCCTACAGTACATAGTCTCTAATGGATATAGAAGTCCAAGATCATACTCTAATGGGAGACAAGCAGAGGAGTAACAGGCCTGATAGCATGTTAGAAAGATAACTAACTTGTATTGTGGGCTCCAGAGGATGGAGGCTAGAGGCAGAGCGACCAGCATCACATTTGCTAGGTTAGATTCTAAAGGCTAGGAAGGCAGAGCCCCTGTCTGCCATACTCCCTCCTGCTCGTGGTATAAGCAGTCCGTGTGCAAACTGTGGAAGTGGTTGAGATAGAGCAGTAAGAACTAGAACTCATTTCATTCAATATATTTTGAGACATGTACCAAGAATAAGAAACTTGCTATTTAATTTTATGACACTCCATTAATTGTGAATCCTGATTTCAGTGTTGTTAAAAAATGTGCATTTTAGAATCAATGAAATACTATAAAATGAACTAACTTGCAAAAGTATTAACCTGGAAATGAGAAGAAGGTTGAGACAGATTCCACCTGTTTGGCCTTGGGCTTTGCCACTTACTAGCTTTCTTAGAACGAATTTCTAAAAATTTTCCTTTTTCCTCACTTGGAATTAAGCTAGACTAAGATCACATACTTTGAAATTCTTTGGAACCTGCTGCTGGGGGTACCTTGGCCTTACATTCCAGTGGTGGAGCGGCTCCCGTAAGTCCCTATGTTGTTTCGAAAACGGTGCTTGTTTAGAAACATGGAGCTAGCTGGGAGCACCTCCGTTAGATGCCTGTCTTTCGGGAGGTGGTGGGGAAATTTGCCCGCAGGAAAGGGCCTGCCTGGGCCCTGGCCGGTCTCAAGTGAAGGGGTGCCTTTCTGTGTTTGATTCCCTCCTCCGATAGATTAATTACCGTCCGCCCAGAACTTGCATTCCTCAGCCTGTGCTGATTATCCTCCCTCTACGGCAAAACCCCAGGAGTCAGGGATTGGGAGGCAGACCACTAGCCTCAGTGTGACTTGGCTATGCAAAAGCTGTGGTTGCTTCCAGGGAGGCACAGTGCAAGGAAGAGCATTTCAGCCTAGGGGAAAGACATGGTTTCCAGGCAGAACGCCCCAAGGGGCAGACTGCCTTCTCTTCTCCAGGTGTTCCCTGGAATGGAGAATGACACTAACTCGTGTTACCTCTACTTGGGCAAAACGGCAGTGAACATAACACTTCCCTGCCAGAGGCTATTAAATGACCAGAGATGGAATACATCATGCGGGCCCAGCTGGTCTAGGAGGCAGCTGTTTGTTCCCCTTTGTTTTATTAATACAGGCTGAGAAAACAAGGTGTAGTGTTAGAGACTTGCCCATGCTCATGAAATGAAGTGGGACAGACTTCGTGCTATTTTTTCAAGCCAACGGCTCCTCCCAAAGGTGACCAAGCCTTCCACACCCGTCCTCCAGATCTGCCCGGACCTGTAGTTGCTGCCCAGGGAGCTAAGGCTCCTCCCCAAACATAAACTCGATCTTGAAGCTACAATAGACCTGGCCTTTCTTGCTGCCTCTGGCTTTCTGTCTTTCATCCTCCTCTCCCTTTCCCCAGCCCTCTCTCCTGTCTCCTACAGGTCTTGGCTGGTGTCGGGAAAGGGGTCCCATCCCATGGCCTCTCACTTGGGGGAGCCAGGGTTCCTGCCCTGTGGGTCCTGTGACATGGTTTTCCGCTCCTGGGCCCTGTTGGCCACCCACACTCAGCGCTTCTGCATTGGCCGTCTGACCCAGGAGGTGACACTTGGAGCACAGCCCTCAAAAGCCACTGAACCACAGGGCCCCGCGGTAAGGGGCCTCTTCCATGGCCATGGGTGGGTATTCAAGCAACCATGACTCTCAGGATTCCTCGCCCCACGCCGTGTCCCCAGGTTGTGCCACAAGAACATCAGGGCCTCCTAGAGCAGGAGGCCAGCAAACCGGCTCTGAAGAGGCTAACAGAGGAGGTACACCGGTGTTCCCCACAGGCTGGAAACTGAGCATCCTCTCCAAACCTGTACATCATGCGTGGGTCAGATTACCCATCCCAACACCCCTAGAGATGGCGGGGTACCATTATTTCCAGGTGCAGGGGCTGCGGCTGTACCTGCAGGAAATGCGACCCAAGATAACAGAGGTCCCCGGGAGGTCAGAGGGGCCGACTCAGGGCCCCAGCTCCGAAGCTGCTGGGAGCCCAGGCGAGCGGCTGCGGGCGCTGCACGGGTCTCACGCCAGGCGCGTGGCGGAGACGGAGGCACAGAGCCGGGCCCTGGAGCGACGCGGCGAGGGTGAGGGGAAAGGTGGAGACTAGGGGCTCGCCCTTTGCCTTGAGGTTACTCGGACCCGGTCGACTTGGTCCCTTCCCCCCGCAGAACTGAGCCGGCGCCTCCAAGGTTTGGCCCGAACCCGGGGCGGGATATCACGCCTATTCGGCCTGGAGCGGGAGCTTCGAGAACTCCGAGCAGAGGCCGGGCGAACGCGGGGAGCTCTAGAGGAGTTAGGGGCGCGAGTTCAGCAGCTACTACCCGAGCCTGGGTGACACTCCGCGCGCGGGATCCCGGAGCGTCTCGGAACGGGCGTGGGGGCGGGCCCGGGGCCTGTGGGGGCGGGCCGGGGAGGGGCGGGAGGCGCGAGGCGTCGGTCCGGACTCAGCTGGATGGCCGCGCCTGTGAGGTCGGGGAGGGGCGGGGCTGCCGGAGGCCAGGTCTGGATCAGTGACAGCTTCTGCGCGCTGTCCCCGACCCCAGCACCCGGCTGAACTCCTCGCGAGAGGCAGAACTCTGTTGTCCGGTGCTACAGGCCAACCCAGGGACTCTGGCTGCCGAGATCGGGTGAGGTCCGGGGCCCGGGGTCGGCCATGGGGTGAAGCTCTGATCAATTCTGGAAAGACGCTGCCTGCCTTCTTGTCCCCTACTCCCTAGGGCTCTGCGTGAAGCCTACATTCGAGGCGGGGGCCGGGACCCCGGCGTTCTGGGCCAGATATGGCAGTTGCAAGTGGAGGCATCAGCCCTGGAGCTTCAGCGGTCGCGGACCCGCAGGGGTGAACAGGAGGGGCCAGCCAGGAAGGCCTCTCAGAAGCGGTGGTCTTAGTCCTGGGAAGAGAGAAGGGCGAAGGGTGGGAAGCGAGGGTGTCTGGCGTGGGAACCACCTAAGCAAAAGCCCCGAGGTAGAACACTTGGGTGGTCTTTGTGGCAGTGGCTAGAATATTAGGTGACAAGTCCAGCTTGTCCAGAGAGTCCTAAGGCTGGAGAGCTGCTCAGAACCGGACAAGTTGGTCACCAGAGGTCAGAGGTGACAAGTAAAATTTGTTCATCGCAGGAAGACGGACAGGTGCCGCATCCGGGGAACTTCTATTAGTGGAGGCAGAAAACCGGCGCCTAGAGGCAGAAATCCTGACTTTGCAGAGGGGCGGAGGTGCAGCGCCCTGGGGTCAGTGGCACCGTAGTCCCACGCCGTGTAGCCCTCCCCTGCAGGCTGGGCTTGGAGGAAAGGGTTAGAGGGACTGTGCATGGGGAATGAGACGCGTGTTTGCGCCCCGTCCGTGCTTGTCCACGCGCATCTCCAGGTGTCCGTGTGTGGGGGTTCGCCTCTCCGGGAAGGGGTATTCTCAGCCCACTTACTTGCTACGTCCTGCACCTAGGGCCCGGAAAGCGGGGACTTGTGGCCAATCCCAGCCCACGCCTGAGGAGGGAAGATCCCCCACGCCTCCCGCCGCCAGTGGCTCCCCCTCTGCCACCGCTTCCACATTCGACAGGCGGCCTATTCTTGGGTGGTCCGGAAAATGCTGTGAGGACCCAGGGGTTGGGGGCGGGGGGAGCATAGGCACCCAGGAGGCCTTCTGGAGGGGTCAACTCTTCCCCCACAGCCACAGCTTCCTGCAACCGTGACCAGGAACCTGGGCCTGGATCCACACTTCTTCCTGCCCCCATCTGACGTTCTGGGCCCTGCACCCTACGACCCCGGGTGAGGCCTGCTTCATCCTTTGATATCCTCTGTGACTTCGTCATTACCACTGGTTAAGGATACCCACTTGGGCTAGCTAGGGCTGGGGAACTGGCTGGAGGACGGGGAGGTGAGAGGAGTTGGGGTGTGTGTGTGTAGGTGTGCACTGAGAACTGTGTTCCCCAGAGCTGGCCTGGTCATTTTCTACGACTTCCTGCGGGGCCTTGAGGCTTCTTGGATTTGGGTGCAACTAACGACTGGTTTGGCACGAGACGGACAGGATACAGGAGGGACCACAGTTTTGCCCCCAGCCCTTTGCTTGCCCCCGCCTCCAGCTCCTGGGCCCATGGGCAACTGTGCCATCCTTGCCAGCAGGCAGCCTGTACCCAGGTCAGTAGATGGGGATTATGACTTTGGTGCTCTTTGCCACAATTGTGGCTTGTCCCTCATTCTGCTAAGTTTGTTTATCTGTACATAAGGCCACTGGCCCCGAGGACCAAGTCCTAGCACTTACAGCCAGTTCTGGCTCTGACACCTGTTTGGTTGTTTTAGACTACCACCGTCACCGTCAGTGGCCTTGGTCTGTGAGCTACAGGCCTCACAGGGCCTGGCCTGGGCTAGGGCACCACAGCCAAAGGCCTGGGCCTCACTGGTGCTATTTGACCGGGATCAGAGGGTGCTAAGTGGCCGTTGGCGTCTCCCACTTCGAGCCCTTCCTCTGGACACCAGCCTGAGCCTTGAGCAGCTGAATGGTATTCCCCAGGTGAGTGTGGAGGATGGGGACTGGGTCTACTCCTCCAGGGTACAGATGTAGTACCATTTCCCCTCTCCCCAGGTAGGTCAGGCTGAGCTCTTTCTGCGGCTGGTGAATGCAAGAGATGCAGCTGTCCAGGCACTGGCAGAGATCAATCCAGCAAGTGCCCACGAGTACCAGTACCCACCTCCGGTGAGGGCCCAACTAGAGCTAGGGACACCACAGGTGTGGTTAACAGCCAGCCTTTGTTGACCCCGATACCAAGTCACTACCAAATGCTTTCTGTGGATTAACTTGCGACCCTCACACATCCTATTAGTTAGGTCCTATGTAAACAGATAAGGAAACCAGAGCACAATGAGGTTAACTTGCTTCACAAACAGTAGTCAAGACTCTAAGGCAGTCCCACTGCAGAACCTGTGCTGTTAACCACTACATAAACCTTTTGCTAAGGACCCGCCCTCCCTCTTCCACAGGTGTCCAGCTCATCTTCACTGGGAGCCAGCTCCGCTGCCCCAAGAGCTGGCTTTGTTGATCCCCCTCCTCCTGCAGAAGAGCCCGTCGGCTGCTGAGTCAAGGAGAGGGATGAGGGTTTGGGTCCTTGTGGCTTTCACGCACCCCCACTGGCTCTGAGTCCAGAAGAACGTGGCTATGAGTAGCTTAACACGCATAGGACTAGGGCCTAAATTGAGGCCTCTTCCCAAACCTGCAGCTTTACTCCATCATGTTCTGACAGAGAGTCCAGCAAACAGCAGACATGAGCACAAAATATGAGCTCCAACCACAGCTTTACCACCTTCCACAAGTACGTGGCCTTTCCTTACCTGTTTTTTTTTTTTTTTTTTTGTAAACAGATTGATGTGAGAATTAAATGAATGCCAGGTATTTACAATACTGCCTGGCACATAGGAAATTCTTTGAAAGGTGGCTAGGGCGCACTCTTTAATTCCAGCTAAAGGAACTTGATAAACTCATTCCCACATGTCTTTTTGCTAAAGCCAGTCTTACTACCACACTTCTTCATTCAAATTCAAGCTTCCTCAGGCCATCCTTCCAGGCTTCTCAAGGCAACCCTCAAGGACATCCAAGAAGCCTTATAGACTTACAGATTCAAGGACAGGGCCCGGACCCAATAATGTTCCTCTCAAGTCGGGGCGGGGGGGGCTTCATGTGAGCTGTAGCTGATATTTGATATTGGGCCTGGCCCAGACCCCAGTGTCAACCAAAGGTCAAAGGCCTGGGAGTCAAGTATGTCATGACTGTGTTGGCCTGACCAAAAAAGTAAATAAAAATAGAATAAAAAAAAGCCTCAGGATTTGAACCATGCAACACAATGGCATCTTCAGGAGGGAAGTTCAAAGCCAAAGATCCTGCAGCCACAAGTTACTGTAACTAGTCCAGAAAAACTCCAACTATTTTCTCTCGTATTTAGAGAAACAAATATAAACCCTGAAAAATGGGGTTGGCTTGGGGGTCAGCAGAGCTCCCTCTGCCTCCAGCACTTGATGTTCAAACAGCCGGTTCTAATCTACTGTCTGTCTAGTGCAGTAAAGTAGCCCTGTGGGTGTCACAATCATTAAATCCCCGTGGGTATTATAGGGCAGGCACCATTTAGAATTCAGATCCAAACAGTGCCTGGTGCACAGCAAGCTCTTAAACTAAGGGTCTGGTCAGAGGCAGCTCAGTCAGAGTCTCACACTAGCCCTGAGTCCTGGACATCAGAGAGGGCCCACTGGCATAGCTTTAGTGCCAGTTCCCTGAGCACCAGCACCTTTGGACTGGGCATTCAGAATTGCTGGGCAAGTTTCTGCCTTTCAACTCCACATCCCGCTCTGAAATACTCCAGACAGCCCGGGATCCTGCTGTAAGATCTTTAAACACCAGTCCAGACTAGGAGCTTTGTATTAGCATCTTTATTTGAGAAGTCAAAACTGCAGACGGGGAACAATTCCAAGTGTTGATATATTTCAACCTTTCTGTACAGAAAATAACAAATATTAACTCAGCCAGCCAGCCTCCCCACAGATTCTTCCAATCTCATCCCAAGTGTACATCAGTCAGTCCTTCAGCCACTTTCAAACCAGAAAACTCAATTCTCTACAATGAGCGTACCAGTTTTCCTCAAGGATCACTCACCACCCCCAAGCTGTCTTCAGTTCTTTACCAGGACAGGATTATGGCCCCAGCTGGAAACTAAGTGGATAAAAGACAGGTACCACCCAAGGCCTGCCTTAGAGGCTGTTATCAGCTCACAGTCAAAGTCCATTGAACAGTATCAGCACCAAAGAGCAAGATCTTCACCTAGTCTTGTTTCTGTAGCCCCTACCAGGGACAGCACTACGGAAGCTCAGCAAGACAGCTGGGTTCAGTCAAGTGTTTAACATGGAAACACTAGAGCACCAGTGGAAGACAAAGGGCCACAGCCACCCGACTTCATCACCTCCACATCAGACAGGAATTTGGATTAGAACTTCAAACACAGAGGTCAGTAAGAGAACAGGAAAAAATGTACCTTTGGCCATTACACAAAACCCAGAGTGCTCCAAGGCACAGATTCAGCCAATATTTAAGAAAAAAAACAGCAAAGCCTCAACCTTTGCTTACAATCTTTATTGAAGTTATACAAAAAGAATCCCCCAAAAGTGAAAAAATACATTATATACAAAAACACTTTCCCTCAGGAGGAAGGCTCTGTTCCCTCTCTTAACAGGCAGTGCTTTCAACTGTAGCTCCGGCCTCCACTGTCCCCTCCACTGCTGCCTGGCTTTCAGCCTGATTCTCAGCCTGGAAGATAAACAGGGAGCCTGGGCATAAGTGACCCTAGTTTCACCCATTCTATCTTTTACAACTGAGCAGGCTTCAGTCAGAGGAAGTAAACACAGAACCCCCAAACTCTGCTTTGCTCCCTACACTACATGGCAATGACCAAGTATAAGGCTGTTTCCTAAATTCTCTGTCATAGGGCTGACAGAGCCATTCATTGTTCATTCATTACATGGAAAGGAGAAAGCAGAAGTGACCCAATGGTCTTGCTGATCAAGTGCCTCCTCATCCGTGCAGAAGGGGATTGTGGTAGGTATATAGGTTCCATTTGTCCATAACCATAACCGTGTCCTGCACAAGCATTGTTTCTATGAGGCTGCACTCAAGCAATCCAAACAGGTTCAAGATGGGGAACATGCACTTGGGAGGACTGGTAGCCCCAGGCCCTGAGAACAAGGGGAAATGAGGCAAGAGTCCAAGCCCTGTTTAACTGCCCACCTCCTCTTCCATGTTTTCTGAAACTTCATTTCCACTAGAGACAGCATCCCCACTGCCTCCATTCACTTCCGGCTCTTGTTTGGCTTTCTTTGCATCATCTTTCCGGGGGCTCTCTTCCTCTGGTTTCCTCTAAAGATATAATTGTGAAGGCTTCACAAATGTGCTTAATGTTTTTAAAAAGACAACTGCAAAACACTTCCTTAACACCCCCCTCCCAGCCATGGTGCAAAGATCCTAACCACCAGGATTCACAGCTCTAGGGATCTCTCCCCAGCAACAGGAGGCAGATGCCAACCTGTTCTCTGCAGAATGAACTGGTCTGCCCCAGCATACCAATTCAGCCTCTCTAGTGGAAGGGTCGGGTAGGGGTGAGAAGCAGATCTGAATAATAATGAAACGCATGTTTGAATTCCTGCATTTGAGTCAGGAAACAAGACAGGAGGTGAGACTCTCCCAAAACTATTGCAACCACAGGCAGAAGGCAGACTCACAGGAGTTTAAGTATCAGCAGGCCTGCTGCTGAATGACTAAACTACTGCCCAAGAAAAAGCGGGGTTTCCTCCGAGGATCTGACCAATCCTCAGCACAGCTTTCCTGAGAGTCCTTGAGCTGAAACAAGTCAGGAGAGCTGTGCTACAAGAGGTATTCAAGTGAAAACTATCTTCACTCACAAATCCTCCCCACCTTTACAAAATGAATGTCTTACTGCGCCAAGTATTAGGAGTGTCTAGAGGAAAGGTATTCCTCATGTATCATTTGGAGGGGGGAAAAAAGCACACTGGGAAGAAGACACAAAAGAACTAACTGCATGTAGTTTTACCTTCTTTCTGACAAGATGGGAAATATCTGTCACACAATTTGATGAGGAAGCACCATCTGTCGGCTTTCTATTGGCAATCTGGCAAGAAGGAAGCTTTTGTTAGCAATGTGTATGAGAAAAACACTGAGGCCCAATACTAAGTGACAAAAAAATCACCTGAATACCCACCATGGAGACTGAAGAGCCTCCTCCACTAGGAGTGAAACCTGAAGTAGAGCTCTCCACCTGTGAGAGATGACAAACGCCAAGTGGGTCCCAGGATAAAACCCACTAGGTCATCCACAGTCCTGCAAGTGCCCACCATCCAAACAACAGATTAAGACCTCAAATACTAGTGTCCTCCATATAGTAGCAACATCATGCACCCCCTCTACCTGCACCTGCCACCCCCGACCCCAGCACAGGCAGAGCGTAGACATGAAACTAAACCCTCCATATCCTGTCATCATCAGCAGGACAGAAAGCTCCCTGACATTCCAGCAGCCAAAAGCAGAACCAGGCAATCTGGGGTTAAAAGCCTTCAATATCTCACTAACCTATACAGAGGAGTTCTCAGAGATGGAAATAATAGCTTTCATTTGTAAGCAAATATTATTTGTCTTCTACTGTCAGAAATATAACATACAGGTACCATTATCCCGATTTTACAGATGAGTCAACTAAGGCAAATAAATGTTAAATAAAGAAATGTTAAATAACATGCCCATGGTTGCACATAGTAAGTAGCAGAGACAGAATTCAAACCCACACAGTCTGGCTCCAGAGTGTATTCTCCTAAGCATTACAGTATTTGATAGGAATAATTAGATAAGTTCCCACACTTCCTCTGACCACCAACTCCCCAGAAACCAAGTCATGACTAAAATTTCTAGCAAATGGAACACTAATACCATGATACCTTCAACAATATCAAACACGCCGTTATCAAAACTTTAAAAGGAAACCAAACCAACCAGAGTTGCTTTCAGAGCCAATTCAGCTGCGTTCCCACTATGCTGGGACTCCTTTGCGTCTTCTATCTTCTCTCTAATTTCAGGTAGCAGTTCCTTCAGCTCCTCAATTTCTTTCTCGTATTCGGTAGGTGATCCTTCAGCCTCCTTCATCTGCTCGTTTAGTACAGCTACAAAGAACAGGCTGAAGTGATCAGTAATAGTTATCACAAAAGGATCCATTTTTTTACCTTGTCAATTACTGGATCCACCAAGATCTTAAAAACAGCTCATGGTCACTCACCCATTCTCCTCTCAATAACTTCAACAGATTTGCTGAACTGTGCCACTGCCTCATCATACTGAGAGTTGTACCCGTAGGCCAAGCCCAGCTGGTAGTGGGTCTCTGCAAGGAGACGGTCATGGGCTTCCAGGTATTGCTCCTGCAGGGTTAGGCATGCCTGGAATTCCTCCACAGCTTGGACGTAATTCTCTAATCAAGAGAAAAAGGACAGCAAGCAATAGACAGCATTAATATACAGTAATTCTAAATTTCAGACCATTCTGCAGGAAGGCTCCCCCATTTTACATTTCATTTTTCTTTGTAGCCATCTCCAGGACCACTGACTACAAAAAAAAATTTCAAAACAACTAAGAAAATCTACTGAACGACTTTCGGTTAGAGTATCAGTTAGAAGAGATCGTTCGTTATTCTAGGGAGTATAAAGAACCCAAACCTACTGTCCTTTTATAGCAAAAGCCCACAACTTATGATCAATCAAGCTGGATTTTAAGGAATCAGAGGAAGAACGGGGGGAGAGTGGGGGTTAGAGGAGAGTAAAACAGAAGATGTCTTACCAGATTCAACACTGACTTCTCCGAGTTTAAGATGTGCCTGCGCAGCATAAAGCTGAGCTTCTTTTGTTTCCTGCCTAGAAGCAAAGGTGATCAGAAACCATAAGAGCATTTGTCCAACCCCTAACTGCTTTCTGTTTTCAACCAACAAGCTCCCACCCTGAGCCAAGAAGCACCAAGAGTTTTACCTTTTAAAAATGATCTTTGCTAAATCCAGCATATCCCAGGCAAGCTCTAGGTTCCCAATCTCCTCCTCTTCATTTTCTTGAAGAGACTGAAGTATATCCAAACCATTGGTATTAGGCAGAAGTACAAGACAAGCATCTTTATAAATCTTTTTACAAATCTAAATGTATAATTTAGTACGGCTTTAGAAAACAAACAAACCCTGATATAGGATTCAAAATTTGGACTTTCTCCCTAAAACCTACAGAATGGGTT